TTTTATGGTGCAAAAAATGAAAAATACTAACAAACCCATAACAACAATTTAAAGATTAATGGACCAATTATAAGGATCAAAACACCCTTAATACCATCATATTCTTTTTTCAACTCGGGGGAAAAATGGTAATCTCATTATAGCCATCCATAATAAATTGTCTATTACTACGGTGAAAAATCTAAACTGTGTCTACTGTAATAGTAAAAAACCTACATAATTTACAGTTTTTGTTAAATAGTTATGTGACCCATGCTTCACCATAGGTAAGATATTTTTATTTCCCATAAAAAAAATTATATATGCTGGTTTTTCAACACATTTTTGTAGTTTAAAAAATTTAAATGCAAAAGTTTTTTTATACATACATGTAATCAAATAAATCAAGAACTATGTGTGCTAATAAATAAATAAAAAGTCATTAATGATACCTAAAATAAAAATTAAAAAATCAAGAGACATATTTAAATTAAGATATTTAATATATTAAGACAAGACATTTACTTGATTATGTTTGCTAAAGTTTTTTATTAAAATATTTTTTTATTTTATCAAATGATAATAGAAATAAACAAACATATTAAATTAATTGAATAAAATAAAAATAAAAAATATTATGCGAAACTACATATATTAGAAATATTATTTGAAAATCAATATTTTTTATTTTTTAAAATAAAATTCATCTATAGAAAAGATTAAAAAGCAATTATAGATGAATCATAATCTCTTAAAAAATGAAATACACACAAAATAATGTTTAAAAAAATCTCTATAAAAAAAGTTAAATAAGAAAATGGAAAAATCACAAGTGACTAATATTAATTCAAATATAAATTTAAAAAATATTTTACAAAAAGATATGATGAAAAAAGGTATCAACCAAAAACATTTAGAAGAAAAAAATAATACCTTAAGAGTTGTAACTTAATTTGTCAAGCCTATGATCATAAACTTATTTGAGTTAAACAATTAGTTTTTTTTTTTAATTTATACTTAACATATATATATATATATATATATATATTAAAAAGAAAGATGTGTGCATATATGATCCAGGGCGCCTGAGCCATTGCAAGGAATAACTTGGAAGCATGGGTAAGCTTTCAAGCCCATGCATGTACTCTTAGGCGTGATTTTACTTTTTATTTTTATTTCTTAAGGGATGAACTATTGTTGTCAACCCTTAATTTTTTTTTAACAAAAATACATAGATAAAGTGTCATATGTGACTCAAATTTTGGTCACCACTGTGGTGGTTGGAAAAAAGAGTAGAACATCTTTTATTTTAAAAATCAAATTTTATGTCATTTCAACTCAAAAATACCTAAAAAACACTCTAGAAACATTAATAAACCAATTCATCAACTCAAAATACCAAAAAAAAAGTTCAAAAATCCAAAATCAAACCGGGTTAGATTCTTCTCAATTTAAATTTAATTTTTAGAAAATATTAAGGTTCTAAAAAAAACCATCAGCCTCTCTTATGTTATGAAATATGTTAACAAAAAAAAAAAAATTCCTTTCTGTGTAACAAAAAATAATACAACTAAACTTTTGTACCAAAAATAATTTTTTCAAAAAACATTTATAGGGATATAAATTATATAATTTGTGTTATTTTTAAAGTTTGAAGACCTAAGAGTAAACAAATATCTATCATGCCTCTTATATTTGGTGGTGTTTTTTTTCCCTGTCCCTCCTCTACCAATTCCACCATTGCCTAGAAAATTAATAGCAATCGGCATTCAATCAAGATTAAATCGCCCAAAAAAAATTTGACTCGTGTTTTACCATGGGTTATATTTTTTTTTTCAAAAAATATTATATAGTTTTTTTCATAACATTTTTGTAGATAAACAAATTCTAAGTGAAAATAAATATACCTGATGGTGTAGATCAAAATATTTAATTTTGAAAAATGATAAATATACACGGTGGTGTTTGCTAATTTTTTTTTATTCAATCCAATAATAATAAAAATAGACACACACGCTAAACTAGTTAAATAAAAAAAATATTATGCAAGATTACACATATTAAAAATATTATATAAAAATAATATTTTTTATGCTTAAAAATAGAGTTCATCTATACAAAAGATAAAAACAAAATTTATAAATGAATAAGAAGAACCCCTTAGGAAATTAAATGCATAATAATAAAATAACCATAATTTAAAAGAAGTTCTCTACAAGAAATAAAAGAAAAAAGAGATATTAATCAAAATATTAATATTTTTTTGGATAAAAAATTTAAAAAACCCAGAAAACAATTAAAGAGTCAAGCATTAGTGGACCTAATAAGCCAATTTAGCCTACCTAACCCTTTTAGTTAAGGCCTATGTGGAGGCCTATCCTGATAAGCCTGTAAAACTAAACCCTTCTTGTTTTTTATTTGCTTTCCTTTGGAGTTGATGACATGTCATCCGACCTAATTTAAAAAATTTATTTTGATTCATCTTCTTTCATTCCTATTCTTTCATAATAAATCAAAATTAATTAGTCTTTAATTAGAACAATATCATTGAGAAAAAAATTTGAGGACAATATTAAAAAAATAAAAAAAATTATTTAGTCTATTTACAATAATATGTGAAATGATAAATAATAAAATCTTGCATAGGGAAAACCAATGCCTTTAGTTTTATATTTAACTAAATTATTGATCTACACTATACTATGAGTTAGATCATTTTTGTTAATATATAAAAAAATATTTAAACATTGTTAATATTTTTTTTGGTTGAAAAAAAACATGTGGAAATTAATTTGATATGACACAATCACATTGACAGATCCAAAAAATAACTTAAATGATTATTAAAAATATAATTCAAATCAAATTAATTATTTAAAATGAGTTTTTTTAATAAAGATTGAGATAACTAACATATTTGATCACTTCGGGTCAACTTGTTAATTTACATCCCAAGTCATGAGATGAATAGAAAAAAATTAAAAAACTCAATTTTAATAAATTTAATATTGAAGAATAAATTTGAAAAAAATTAATTAAAAAAATTAAAAAATAATTCAAATCAACTTGGATAAATTTGTCAAACCTGCGTCTCAAGTCATAAAACTAAAATAACCCAATTGAAAACAAATTATAAAACTTAATTCTCAATCAACACAATATTGAAATATAAAATTAAAAAAATTAAAAAATAATTCAAATCAACTTGGATAAATTTGTCAAACCTGCGTCTCAAATCATAAAACTAAAATAACCCAATTGAAAACAAATTATAAAACTTAATTCTCAATCAACACAATATTGAAATATAAAATTAAAAAAATTAATATAAGAAAATACAAAAAAAACTAAAATTAACCATAATTAACTTGCTAAACTTATAATCCAAGTTATAAAATAGAGATAACTTAGAAAATATGCTAAAAAAAATCACAAAACTTAATTTTCAATCAATATAATATTAAATGATAAAATTAAAAAAAATCAATTAAAAAAAACCTTGAGTTAATAAAGTTAAACTTATTAAACGGACAATCTAGATCATGAATTTGAAATAATTTTATAAAAAATAAATTTAAAAATTATAAAATAAAATTAAAATTTAAAAACAAACATATAATAATAATAAAAAAACAACGATAAAGAAAAAAACATTATTCTAGCCAATAATGTTATGTGAGGAGGTAAAAAACCTTAATTTTTTTTTGTTAATCAACTAAATATTAAAAAATAAAAGTTAATAAAAAAAACTAAAGTTGACTAATTTAACTCACTAAGCTCACCATTCATTTAATGAAAATGAAATAATTCAATAAAAAACAATTCTAATATTAAATAATAAAATTAAAAAAAATAAAAATAAAAAATAAAAATCAAAGGAAAGAAAACCATCCTCTTCTAGTATTTTTGTTAAGAAACAAGCAACCACATTTTGCATAACCTTACAAATTGGAAAATGATCCCACATGCGATGCTTCTTTAGCCACGGGAAGCAGATGGCATCCATCTTGAATGCTAATGGACTGGTGTAGAATTCATACAAGTCTTGTATCTCCCTCAACCTTGACTTCCCAATGAACTTAAAGAAGTGCGGAAATGCGCAATCTTATGGTATGAAGATCAAGTGACACAAGGAAACTAGCGAAGGCAATTATGTTTGATCGATTCTATCAAAACTTGAGACGGATATGGAACAAATGAGGCACCTGGGTCAGATAAAAACCAGAAATTCAACTCTTTGATGCCTTGGCTTTTATAATTTGACACACTACATGTACACATGTTACAAAACAAACTTACTGGGGGCGTTGGGATGGGGGAAGGAAAATGAAGGGCAAGCTAGCCCGACTCAAAGGGAGCAATGATACACAGTTTGATGAACACACTTCCTCTGTCCTCCAAAACAGTATTTCTACCATGGATTTAGTTGACAGCAAACATAAGCTTTCACTTCCGATGCTTCTTTGATGGAGGCTCTGCTTGGGGCTCCGCCTGCTCAATGTGAAAACTTTAAGTACAATGAAACTTGGAAATCTCAAGGGAGCCATTATTTTACAAGTAAAGTTGATATCTGCTTTCTCAAAAGAAAAAGAATGTTGATATCTAAGATTTGTTTGGCTGCACTATTCCAATTCAAAAGTAATGCCAAAAAACAAGTGCGAGATGCTCAACGATACATATCATCTTGGTCATAGGGAAAATTTTAGCTGTAGGCATATACTCAAATTTATGCAGATGAACAATTGTCAAGATCAACAGAACCATGGAATAAGCTAAAAACTAGGCAATACCAAACCTTTCAACCAGTGCAAACAACCTCACCATGTAGTTTTTACAAGGTACTGGAAAGATAATATATGATGCGTACAGATTGTGTACACTTCTTTTCTTCTAAAAAAGGTTGGACAAGGTTTTTCTTTACTGGATCACCTATGTTCACTCATACTGTAAAAAGTTGAGTTTGCTCCATCGCTAGCAAGTTTGCATATTGAATGTTCATATAAATGACTGGCATTTAGATGTAATCAAGAAGCATTTACTTTACCCTCTAAACCGACTGGTTTTCAAGCTTTGGTTAAAGATAAGTTTTTTTCCTCCTTTGATAAAGAAAACCTTGATAATGAAAAGAGTAGATCTACAACAACAAAATGAGGATACTACAGCAGACTAGCAAACCCAAAAAAAAAAACTAAAGCAGCCCAATCTTGTCGAAAAGCACCCCTAAAGGCACTGGAAGCATGAGGCCCTGATGATATCCTCATAGATAATGAGAATTGATAATATGTTCAAAATGATTTTAAGTATTCAATATAAGCACTTGGTGCAATGAAGTCATGGCTCCTTACCATATAAACTTTTTTAAAAAGTAGCGATAATAACAATGCTCTACATTGAATAAATGCAAACCTGTCAATACCATTATTATGCTGTGTTATAAAAGGTATCTACCATATTTGGCCATTGAGCATGTGTGAGGAGAACGTGTAGAAATAGAAATTTCAATTGCTTATTAATGACACGTATCGAGAAACAAGGAGACGAAGCAACAATGTTAAACAGATGGTTTGTGTGAAAAATGGATAGAAAGAGAAGAAAATAGATTCTTCTTGCTTCTCTGACGGATCTGGAGCTTGAAGAGTCTAAATCACAGGCTTTCACTTTTAGGGGAAAAAAGGGCTGCTCGTAACTTGAGAGATCTCCTCTAATGATCAGGTGTCACCGCAGGTTAGCTTATTCTCAATCTTTCAGATTTAATTTGAGTTAGGTAGAGAACTTTCAATCTTGGGGCAGATGCTTGCCACAAACTAGTTCTATACAATCAATTTTTTTCAACTATAGTTTAATACAATTCTCAGTGTCAAGTTAAAAGTCATATCATTAATGTTAGGTTTAGAGAGCCCTAGTATTGATCAAGAAATCGGGGCTGACAGCATTAGTTTCCCTGTTACAATTTGGATGACCCGCAGGGCGTCTATCAATACAGACTTCACCTTAAGGCTCCGCCTTCATTCCACATCCTTGAAAGTAGTACATCTTGGTAAAATATGAATGGAATAATTTGGTTCTCTCCTCTGTTCATTAGGGAATATCAAGAACTATGACACTGGGGGTGTTTAAATTAAACTTGGAATCTAATGTTTGATTGGTACTTCCTGAAAAGAGAGAGAGAGAAAGCCCAATCTGTGTTCTAGCGCAAGTTCATCGTTATTGAAAAGGAATTATTCTTTCTTCGTTATGCACCATTTCTGGAATTTGAACCCTACATTGGACATACAATTATTTGTAAATTTTCAAATGTGGGAAGTATCTAGATGTGGAAAATATATATCTGTATAAGCTTTTCACAGACAAATAATTAGATATTACTACCATATAACTTTAATATTTTGCATAATTATGCTCAGAAGAATTATAACGTCATTTTGGATGAGAATGGACAATCCTATGTGTAAGAGAGAAGTGCCAGCTAGTTCTCAATAATAAACACTGATTTAACAGGACTATCTCTCAATCTTCTTTCTATAATGAATGGTTAGGAGATTACGACTCTTCGGTCTTTCTACTTTGTAACAAAGGAGAAAGTATTGATGCACAATCAAAATACCCAGGACAATAGTTGTAGATCCTTTTTAATGCAAATATTTGCTTTTCTGATAAAATGCAAGCAAGCAATTTTTCTATGGGTGCACAAAGGTAGCAGTAACTGCAAAAGACACACACAGGAGGTATTATCAACATACTTTGCAAGCATAAGCCTTTCGGGCCTAGATGGACACTAAATTTTTTGAAAATGCTGCACAGCATGGAAGAGGCAATATCAATAGTATAAGAAGAAGAGAGTTTTGGGAGCTTAGCAGCAAAAGAAAGAAGAGGAATGGAAGCCCCAATGTAATGAAAGTGAAAAAAAGCAACAAGTAAGAAGAGATTGCTTACAGAATTTGAAAGCTGCTCGCGAATGTAGGCCATTGATCTCAACATGGCACCTAATGTATCTCTGGAAACCTGAAATTTAACCTCTGACTCTCCCGTAGTTGTTTCAGTGTCTTGAAGCTGAAACCATAGAAGAAAAGAATAAAGTTTCCAAATGAATAATAAACTATGACAAATAAAGGTAAGCACACACCTCAATGAGACCAGAAAACCATCTGTAGGAATGAGATAACTGCCGTAATTATTTATTAAACATAAGTTCAAATACAATAAAGTGGGTAGAACAGGAGCAGAGAAGAAAATCACATTTCTCTGCGCTTGTATCCATTAACTAGCCTAGGTCCTGTCTCATCTGGTTCTGTTCTGATATGATAAAATCAAATCCTAGTCTGCCACAAGCACATGGACAGATTTCTCCAAATCTATCCTACATCACGGCTATTCAAAGCAACTGCCTTCATTTGGGTTGAAATAGAGAAAAAAGAATAAGCATGTTCATACTATTTGAATTAGAAGCATTTGCCCATTAGGAATCTCTACTGCAAAGAAGAATTGTGGGATTTTTATGGTAAAAGGCAGAGATCGAGTAAAAATCACTTAGTCAATTGGGGATCTGTAGCAACTTCTAAGCCTGATGCTCAAGAGGAGTTCAGCATACACCCTGAGGTTTGGAATTCAGGGTGTGCCCATTGAAGTCCGGACTGGTACCTCTGTTATCACCAAAAAAACAGAGAAGAAAGAGGTGCATTGATGAATGGGTCCATAAGAATAACACCCCAGTGGGTAAATTAATAAGGCTCTTTCCTCTAGGAACAGGTTCTATATATTGCATAAGGTCATTTACAGCAAATCAAGTGTTCAAATGAATACTCAGATCCCAAGATCGGTTCAGCAATTACATGCTGGCAATGGAAAGACAACTTGTAAGACCTCTCACAATAATTTTCTGTTGAGGCAAATCTTGTAGTATATAATATTTTTTTCTGAATGTATTAGAATGCCTGTATGGCATAATGCTTCAGTGGCTTTTAGAAGAATTTCCATAGAGGATATTCAACAGGATTGGAGAGCACTTTTGTCTTCATTACTATTTTCGCAACCTTGTGGAGGATTCCTGATTCTATGTTTGGATTCACTGTCTTTCCTTTCTAATAATAACATGATGAACAATAATTAAATTCCTAAACTCGGTTCTCTCATTTTATGATATCTTGAAACACAACATTTCAAAGCTTCCCATGCCAGAATCCAGATGGGATTCATCATCACATGAATTTTGAAGAAATAAGTGCATTGATAGACATGGGAAAAAGTTAAAAAGTAATCCCCAGCATTGAGACAAATTTGGAATACAAAGATTGTGAGGGTGAGGTAGAAACACTGGTACACACCCCACACAACTTATTAGGTTCGTATAAAAATGAAAGTTCGATGAACTTAATGTGAGAAATATTAGAAAGAGAATCATGCAATTAAAAAAAACAGATTACAAAGATGAAATTCCTTTGGCTAAAAAAGTGTCTGATCAGAATTATGTGCTGGAAGGCTGCCTTCTCATGTTCTGGAAACAACCATTCAACCACAAGTTTAATCCTTTACCATTTTTTTCAGTTTAGATTCTCGTATGACAGAAATAAATTCCTTCAGCCAAATGCTACAAATAGAGATTTATATCATAATTCCAGATTCACGCTTTCCCTTATGTTTTTCCAATGCTATCCGACTCCACTTTTCAACCTATGTATTCCTACTTCACTCTTTTACTCATCTTCCGTATTTCACCACTCAGTGCAAGCTTTACCACCAACTTAGGTAATCCTAAACCACACTATATGGGTAAGAAATTCAAGACTAACCACCAAAAAAATAAAATAAAAAAAAAACAAAAATGAGAGGAAAAGACATGCATCCATGCCTGTCAATGCTGCAGTAAGAGCATGGCTCCTCAACTACATATCAGCCTATGGTCCAAATGGACTTCCTTGATCCATAATAAGCTAGTCATATGCATAATGCATAAAACAAAGCTCAAACAACAAATGCTGAGTCATTAACCAATTTTTTAATTTGTTAAATTCATTAATGCCTAAACATGAAGACCACTTTTACTGTCAGGATTAGTGTCTCTAAACCATAGAACAGATGAAGAGAAGACAATCAAGAAGCAGGATGAATATTAAATTATGAAGAGCCACGTTAGAGACATAGCCATTGGCACTTTTCTTAAGCATGCATAGAAATGGCATCTCTTCAGTTCACATGTTTTGGAAAAGAGGGGATAGCGTGTATTCTGCAGCAAAAAAATTGTCCTTCATTGATAGTTGCTTATTTATTAAAAATAATTTGTCTACAAAGCAAGAGGATGAAGCACATCCAATTCAGAGTTCAGACTATGCCCTTGGCTGAGATTGGCTTGAGGTCCTGAGACCTGTCCAAACTTAATTCAAATCTTATATAAAGCCACACATAAACCATTTATGCAAGATACAGGGATAACATGCTAACCAATCTACAAAACAACATCTGGAACCAGTAGCTTGTTTTGCTTTTCTTTTATCTAATGAAAGTGGCAGCACAAAATACAAAAGGTTTGTAGATTTCATTAGTGGCTGGACCTCAGTATCATATTTATTTTTCGTAAAAGAAGGTCTAGTTTTGAGTTACATACCTTCAGATTGATAACTGCAACTCTGTTAGCTGGTGTTGAGAGCTGTTCACTGATGTATGCCATAGACCTCAACATTGGCTCCAATGTAACTCTTGAGAGTTGAAACTTAACCTCCAATTCTGTTGATGGAGTCTTGCCATAATCTTGCAACTGCAGTAGTTCCACACAAACTATATGTAAGGCGCCCCAAATCAGTTGTCAAAATACACAGCTAGAGAATAACAAGAGTATTATCTACAGTTTGCTAAAGATTAAAACATGAGCATTTGACACACTTAAATAAAAAAAACAGCATAAATACATTTTAAATACTTAAAAATGTTTGGTGTATTTACAAAGTGACCTGGGGGAAGTCAACAGTCAAAACACTTCTTCCCATAGTGGCTAGATGACAATTTCCTGACTATTATTGAAGTTTTAGTTCATTACACGCATACCTTCAGGTTGATGACAGCAACTCTATTCCCTGTTGTTGAACTCCTGTTCTCCATCACCCAAGTCATTGATTTGAGACAAGGAAGAACTGCCTACGCAAGAGTTATAAAAAGCCAAGTCAGTGGGTTTTGCTATAATTTAAACTCCAAAGGACATAACAATTAATACTTGATGCAGGGGTTCCCTTAAGTACCATGTTACCAGGAGGACCATCATCACGCTGAAGGGACACAGGGGCCATACGGGGAAGATTCAAATCAGCAACAGATTGAACTGGAGTGCTAGTATCATTCAGATTAAATCGTTGGGTAACTTCATCTTGCGGTGGCCATAACAATGGAGTAGTATCTGATGCTGAAGTTGATGTCTTCCTATCATCATTACCAGTCCCAGGAGGTGAAACTTTGGCCACATTTTTCTTCACAACAGCGACCCTCTTTCCACCTTCTCTAAGAGCAACCATTGCAACATTATAAGTCTCTGCAGCTATTGCCCCTTCCTCTGCATATTTTATTGCTTCTCGACATAGATTGTTGTATCGCAAAGTAAGAGACTCTTGGCCAGGCAAATCACCCCCGTGGTCATCCATTCCTGTACTGATTTTGGCATTTCTCGTCCATCGTTTTAAGATGTAATGAGGTGGCAATGTCAGAACATTTGTCACTGTGAAGACTGTCAAAACATGTCTACAAAGAATGCCTGAATACTCAAACATTTGGCAGCTGCAGTTTGCTCTCATTTCCGGACAGTTTAAGGAAACAATATAGGCCCTTTGGTCATCCTCAAATTTTGCAACCCTGAATGTGCTGATAGCAGGATCACCCCCCATCCTGTTAGCAGTATATACAAAAGTTTCAACCAACTCTTCTTGAAATTTTGCAAATATTTTTCTCGTATAAAGATTTGCTGCTTGTTTCTCCATAGGAGATGGCGTCCTCAAAACTGGTGTGGTGCAAATTGTATCAAAATCTGCTTCTAACTCTCTTTCGAACCAATTATCTAATGCTCTTTCATACTGTCTAAAGAACATTGGCAATGTGGTCTGTTGGTTCACATAACCATCAAAGAAAGTACCATCAAATCCTTGATTTGGACACATTACAGCAAAAAAAGAATCCCGAAAGTACACTGGAACCCATTGAGCACGAGCATCATATAACGATTGAAGCCAGTCATGTCCTCTCAGATCATATTTGTCAAGAATATCCCTCCATGATGATTCAAACTCCTCAATAGTTTCAGTCAAGTTGATACAATTATACAGTTCCAATTGAAAATTTGGATGTGCATTACATACATGAGCCAATTTTTCTTGGCCTTCTCTTAAAACATGCCATTTACAATAACAGTGTCGGGCATCAGGAAACACCTGAGAAACTGCTGTCTGTATGGCCCTGTCTCGGTTGGTGATTATAGAAGCAGGCTGTTGATCATACATTGCTGTTAGAAATGTCTTGAACAACCAAACAAAAGAAGCTTCAGAATCATCAAGAAGTATTGCACAGCCAAATAAAATTGTTTGACCGTGATGGTTCAAACCTGTAAATGGGGCAAATGGCACCCTATATTGATTTACTCGAGAATTTGTGTCAAATGTAACTGCATCACCAAAATGAGTGTAAGCAGATCTTGACCTTGCATCGGCCCAAAAAACATTAGCCATGCGATTTTCATCGTCAAGTTGAATTGCATAAAAGAAACCAGGATTCTCAGCCTGCATTTTCTTGAAATACTCCAGCAGATTCTGAGCATCCCTTCCTAGAGTCCTCTTTTGGTTATTGGGCCTAACAATATAATTCACTGTTGTAGAAGTCTTAATAACACGATTTGGTTCGGCAGGAGGAGTATTCCTAACTCCATGGTTTGTCTCTGCTACAGGTGCATGGTTTCCATCCATTGACAGATACATTACACCACTTGGAACAACTCCCACTCCTTGGCCAACACCACTAGTAACAACTGCTGCTGGTTGGCCAGCACCACTTGGAGAAACTCCCACTCCATGCCCAGTTTCAGCAACACTCTTTGCAGCACCAGCAAAATGCCTGCGGGGCCGAAGGTATTTCACTTTCCTGAGACTAGTAGTTGAATGGTTATGCGCCTTTACAAAGTGCGTCACAACCCATTTTCCTGGACTCTTCAACTCTATTCTAAGCATAGCATGACAACTATAAGCAGACCTTCTCTTCAAACCCTCCCTGCCACATACAAACTCTCTAGCAGCCATCGCCCCATCAGTTTTAGGACGGGTAAAATGAGCAACGTTGGTGCTAAAACCTAGGCATCTAGCATAGTCATCATAGAAAGTCTTTGCAGCATTCTCTGAATCAAATTCCATGCCCACACACGGCTCATGCAGCTCAGCAGCCCCATCCTCGTCATGCTCCCCGTTATTCGCTTCTCCACTATCATTTGGTTCTGAATCTCCATCATAGGCCACCCCACGATGACCCATCCCCTCTTCACCATCGATCACATGAACATCCATATCAAAAACCCTTCGTTTTCAAAACTAAACCCTGGCAATCACTCGAAACCGCACTTGCATTTTAATTCTCTATTGAAGCAAAAGAAGGACACACAACCTGTACAAAATTGGGAAAAAAATAAAAAACCAAAAAAATGATCTTTGAGACATGAATTTAAAAGAAAAGGGAAAACTAAAACAAAATAATATAAAAATTAGCATTCTTTTTTATTGAAATAAAACTTAGCATTCTTTAAAAAAAAAGAGGTTACAGCTTCCATGTTTAACCAGCTGATACAAACAAAACCCACCACGGAACAACACAAAAACACACCAAGAAAGGCAACAGAATTGAATTGAATTGAATTCAGTTCAGTTCAATTCAATTGAAGGTACTAAGCGATTAAAAACCTTAAAATTGCAGGATCAAGTTTAACTACTAATAACAGAGAAAGAGAGAGAGAGAGAGAGTACCTGGTAATTGAAATTGAGTGAATTCAGAGAGGGAGAGGGAGTTGGTAATTAGGGATTAATCAAAGTTTTTCGAATTGAAGGAGGAGAGTGAAAAAGAAAGTGAAATTAAGAAGTGGAAAACCCTACAACTTTTTTTAAAAAAGCAAATTACTAAAGAAGCCCCTAAACTTTAGTTCATTGCGCAATAAAACCCTCGTGAGCTCGTGTGGGACTGGGAGAGGTCCTTCATGTGACCTGGCTGGCAACCGGGCAGGGGATAATCTCAAAAGTGATCCTTCATGTTTTAATTTATTATCATATAGTCATTGGATCTTAAGTTTTTATTCATTTATTTTTATCTTTTTCTTCATAACGATTTTATGATAAGATTATGAATTAGGCGAGACGTTCTGTGTTATCTCACGCACATCCTAATTCTTTGATATCATGTGCAGACGGGTTAGGGTAAGGAACCAAGATAAGATAGTCTTGTAATACTGATTATTTTTTAAAGTTTTGTTTTAAAAAAATATATTAAAATAATTTTTATTTTATTTTTTAAAATTATTTTTTATAATAACATATTAAAATAATAAAAAAAATTAAAATTTTTAAAAAACAGAATAGGAACCCTCTAACAAAGCCAATGCTAAAATTTACTTGATAATTTGTGGTATTAGTTTTTCAAAATTGATATTTGTTTAAATATCATTTGATTCTTTTAATAACTATTGTGCCTTTATAAGTGTTTGTTTAGTGTTGCAGTAGTTTTTGTTTTTTTTAAATATTTTTCAAATTATTTTTTTGTATAAAAATATATTAAATTAACTATTTTAAATGTTTTTCAAAGATTTTAATAGACTTATATAAAAAAATAAAAATAATATTTTAATATATTTCAAGTAATTTTTTTTAAATTTCTACGCTATATTAACAATCATATCCTTCGAAATATAAAATATCATTTCTTTATTTTTTCATTTCTTGATTTGAAATTATAAGAAAACAAAAGGTTAATGTAAAGTGACTTGATCAATCTTTCATTAGATAAAGGGACTCGATTGAATATGTCTCTAAGTAGAGGGACGTATAATGTCGTACTACGTTTCCACAAATCTTCTCGCTCTCTCTCTTGTCTGTAATACACCAAAAAACCCAAAACCCCACCAGAGAGATCAGAGACTGAAGCAACTCAAAATTCATAGAGAGAAGAAGCAAAGAAGACAGACAGACAGACAGACAGACAGGTAGAATGAAGAATATACCTCTGCTTTTGATGGGTTGTGGGGGCGTTGGTCGCCAACTCCTCCAACACATCGTGTCCTGCCGATCCCTCCATGCCCAACAGGTTCCCTCTTTTGTCATTCTAATCATTCTCTTCCATTTTAAGCTCAATACAACTTTCTTGGAATGGGTTTCTGTACGAAAATAGAAACGTGCATTCAAAATGGACTTCGAACATTTTCTTGTGTGAAAGATGAAACCTTTGCATTTTGGGTGGTATTGGCAGGGTGTTCATTTGAGAGTAGTTGGAGTTTGTGACAGTAAATCGTTAGTTTTTGCATCTGACGTGATTACTAGAGAGTTAAATGATCAAACTTTATCGGAAGTTTGCCGGGTTAAGTCGAATGGTTCATCTCTTTCAGCTCTAGGTGATCTGGGTGAGTGCCATTGATAAAGCGTCTTTGGTCTGATGATAGTGAGGGTGGATTTTAATTTGTTTTTCTTACTTTCTTAATGAAGGTGAATGCACAGTAAATGGGAATACGGAATCCAAGAGGAAAGTTATGGACATTGCAGCTCTTCTCGGGAAGGCAACAGGTTGGTGCGTTTATGAGTTTTGATCTTGATCTTGTCATTTTGTCAGCAAAGCTCATCAAAGGTTTAGGCTTTTCCTTATCGATGCCTAAGCCGTTGATTTCAATTTTGAAAAAAGAAAACAGAAAAAGAAAGATTATCTTATTATTGATTATGGAATCTGATTATTGATTTGAGCTGAATTTTGAAATGTGGCCAAGCGTACAGCTTTGAAATGCTTTGAAATGTGGTCAAGCGTACAGTTTTGAAATGCTATAATTTCTGTCATGAGATTATTTTGATTTTATTATGTGGTAGGTTTGGCTTTTGTGGATTGTTCTGCAAGTTCGGAGACTATTAGAATGCTAAATCAAGTTGTTGATATGGGATGCTGCGTTGTTCTGGCAAATAAGAAGCCTCTTACTTCTACAATGGTAATAAACTTGTAGCCATCCTTATTAGTTTGTGATAAAAAGAAAAACAATTATGGGACTAGGGGCTTTTGGATCTTCAATCCATACTTGTGCCCTTTTGTTTCATGTGGAATTGCGTGAGTAAGCCAATGAACTTGTATGTTTCAACTCTGAAATTACAGTTATACCCTTGCTGATAAAAATTTCATTGCTGATGTTTAATCCATCATAAACAATGCAATTGGTAGCCTTGCTGTGAGAGTGAAGATGATAAGAGGGAGAAGTGAGGTGAAAGTTCAATTTTTTTTTTCTACTAGGTTTTATGATGAATGATGATTTAAATAAGATTCTTTGCTCTCAATTTCCTTTTGCTATCCTTCTCTATGTCCCAAATATAAACACACTTTTCTTCTGGCCATTATTTTAACGGTAGCTCCAATTTCTTTTACATTTCTATTATTGTTGAGAGCTTTTGTAGATTTGATTTCAGTTAAGCATGTGAATTATTGTCGAGAACTTTTGTACCATCATGCAGGAAGATTATGACAAATTGGTCTCTTATCCGCGTCGTATCCGGCACGAGTCAACTGTAAGTGAAGTTTTTTGTTTGTGTAGCTAGAACATCTATTTCCTCAACTTTACTTTAAAATGTAAAGAAAGAAGGATTTGAAACTGAATTCTTGTAATTTTTGTTGCAATATCCTGTTAATCCACTGATAAATTGATGCAAAACCTTAGTTTGTTGAAAGCTTCTCTTGCCTGGGGTTGTAGTTCAATTACATGTATTATCAACAACATTAGACTTGTGGTTGTCTTGTGTCAAATTTCAGATTTGTATTAACTAATATCAGATTCGAGCGTTTTGAAATAAATTCAATCTTTTGTTTGGTGGTTGAGGAATATATATGTAAATACAAGATTTTCTCTGGTGACATAAAGTTAGCAAAACATGTTATGGAGCCTTTAAATCTGTTTCTTTCACCGCTCTCATGCTTGATTACAATCACTTAGCAGGTATGGATAGGGTTTGTATGGTTGCCTTTTCATGGTTTGGTTATTTAATGCAATAATAATTGTTTGATGCTAGATATTGTTTAAATTGTGTTATGATCTTCTTAGCATAATGATTTCTACTGACTTGAAGTTATTTTTGACAGGTTGGTGCTGGCCTTCCTGTCATAGAATCCTTAAATCGATTACTTTCATCAGGAGACCCTGTCCATTGTATTATTGGGAGTTTGAGCGGTACCTATTTTAGCAAGGCTCTGCTTCAATGCTCAAATAGTTGGATTATGCATCTGCTAAATTGTGCATTTCAATATGATTGTATTTGCACTTGCTTAATGGTTCATTTACGTGCTTTGTTGTATACTTTTATAACAGGTACATTGGGATATGTTATGAGTGAGGTTGAGGATGGAAAGCTGTTTAGTGAAGTTGTTAAAGCTGCTAAAAATCTTGGATTCACTGAACCAGGTCTCCACGTAATTATTTTTATTTGCATGCGAATCCTGTTCTTGACAGGCAAAATTTATGACTTTTAAATATGTATGCATGCATGCATAGACAAATGTGTAGAAGTATGTAATGAATTTAAAATAATGTTCATAAAACTCTAATTTGAGCTGCAATTGGTGTATCTCCCAAAAGAGTTGTATACTCTTACGTTTGATCAGATCTTGACAGCTCGACTCTTGGGGCCAGCATAGTGCTGATTACTTCTTTACATCCATCTCTTATGTTGGCAACTGTTGAATGACTAAAACAGAATGTGGACAAATTCTGGTTCTTAAAAAAAAGGGGGATTCAAAAGTTACATTACATGCTTGAAAGCTATCTATGAACTTTTTTTGATCCAGTTATTTCATGAAACAATTTGCTGATTATTTCACTGTTCTACATCTACTACGCTCTTGCATTTCTTGTCAGAAACGGCTGATTTACTGATCTTAAAAACTAAAAGTTATACGCACAGTTTCCTAGCCACCTTAACATTAGAAAGAAAACATAGCAAGGATTTGCTTTTAACTCCGCCTTTGGTCTTCCGTATACTAGCAAAGACATTAGGGAGTTTGATTTTCTGTCAACATGTTCTTCTAACTTAGTTTCTTTGCTGCAGATCCACGTGATGACCTCAGTGGGATGGATGTTGCAAGGAAGGTTTGCATTTATATTCTCATCTGCTTGACTTTGGAATTTGATTATCTATATCCTATTAAGCCTCGAGGCTCCTGGTTGTGATGCATGCAAATCTGAATATTCTATTTAAATGCATATGCATGTTGTTTCTTGAGTTTGTAATTTTTCATTTTTTTAAGTTATTTCTGTACGTTTCTTTCCAAGAATATTCCTCCATTAGTTGAAATAATTTCATTGCTCACCCATCCAGCTATACTATTATGTTGCTTAAAACTGATTGTTTTGATTTCCAAAAATTACACATGATATGGTTGCAGATTATCCATCAATGATATCCTTAGTCTTAAACTTGATTATGCTCCTAACAATGTTGGGTGTTGTCATGATAGTTGCAAAATTCTCCAATAATAATTACACATTCAAAGTGCTACAAGTTAACTATGATAATTCTTCATTGATGAGGATACAGATGAAATTGTTCAAAGGTCAAGCTATGTCTTTACCTGCTTTTCTGTTAGTGGGATGGTTTATCTTCCTTTCGTTTTTCACTTCTTTCCTTCCCACCAATGTGGTCTTCTGTTTGATGCATAAGAAAAACTTGATACTATATATTCAAAACAGTATCTTATTCTTCTTGTATTCTAAACAGGCTTTGATTCTGGCTCGACTTCTTGGGAGAAGGATTAACTTGGATAGCATTAAAGTAAGTTCTAAGTCACTTCCTTTCCTATCTTCTATTTAGTAGAGTTATAATATAGCAATATTAATGATCATTTCAAACCTCAACCATTGATGAACTAATAAATTCTTGAATCACCATTTCTTCTGCTTTGTAGATTGAGAGTTTATACCCTGATGAAATGGGACCTGATGCAATGTCTGTTGAGGAATTTTTGGGTAGTGGTATTGTATCACTGGACAATGATGTTCAAGAAAGAGTTAAAAGGGCTTCGTTGAATGGCAACGTGCTTCGTTATGTCTGTGTAATTGAAGGATCGAGGTATTCTTTCCAATCTTAAAGGATGCATGTGTGTGCATAAACATGTCTGGTTGCGGGAATGCATGTGCTTTTGTGCAAGTATTTGAGGGATTCACTGTGACCATCTGTTACAACGTTTGAAATACTAAATCTGTCTGCTCAAAGTTTTGTCTAAACTATGATGTAGATCGTACAAGTAGTTTATGGAGTTCCTTGACATGGGTACTATTCGATTCTTAGCAGGTGTGAAGTTGGCATTCAAGAGCTCCCCAAGGATTCTCCTTTGGGTAGATTGAGGGGCAGTGACAATGTGGTAAGCCCTAATTTCTCCTGATCATCCCCTCTTTTTTTCCATCCTCATTATGTCTAATTGGGCTGATCACTAATGATATCTGGTGATGGAATATCACTTTTTTATTATGATTCCAATTGACAGTCTGTTTGCAAAATCACATTTTGAGGGACACGTTCACAATTTTGTACTCATCTTCCTTTTCTTCTTCCTCAAAAAAAAAAACAAAAAGGGGGGGTTAAATAGGAGAATAGCCAGACAAATCAGTAGATTTCCTCCTATGTGGTCCATCCCAAATCTTCTAACGCAGGCCCACTGAACCATGTTGTCTTTGGTAGCGCTTTGAAGTTCCAAGTACTAATGGGATATTGCAATTATGTGTATGTAAGCATACATATACAGACACACATAGGAGGAGAGGACCTGATGATTCAAAGGCTAAACCACAAGTTGCAGGTCTTTAATGAAAATATGTTTACTATGCATATTTTTAGGATTTAGGAAACTTTGAAAGATAAATTTATCATGTGTAATGTACTTTTGATTTTCCATACAATGTGATGTCATATTATACCATCATGTCTAGAACTTCACATGCTTCATTTGATGCAATTGCAGTTGGAGATATACAGCCGATGTTACAACAAACAACCTTTGGTTATTCAAGGCGCTGGAGCTGGCAATGATACCACAGCAGCTGGTGTGCTTGCTGATATCCTGGATATTCAGGATTTATTTCCTTGAAAAGAGTAGACAGTGCAAAATTCATGTTGAAGACCAAAGAGTTGAAATTACCCTGTGCATCGTCTTGTTGCACAGCAAAAGCCAGTTCTGGAAAAATAGAGTGGAGAATTTCATTTGGAGTCCACTGTTTCATTTGGCTCAAATCTGCAGGATTCACCTGGCACCTATTATTGCTGGCAGCTCAATTTTTGAGATGATGATGCGTGCATAAAAAGAAAAAAGACTAGTTAAAATAAGCTTCTGTGTACGTGAAGCATGCTTATCATGTCAGGATGATGTATCATGTTGGGCTGTGCTTGCCATTTTCTGGAGTATGTGATCTCACTGAAATTAAAGAATGCCAAGTTTGAAGTCTGAGTGCAAGTCATCTTTTGGCTTAATATTTTACTTCTCCGGTGTATTAACACAAGGGAGTCTTTGAGCCCCTGTAATTTGAACGGTAACAGTCTCTTGACTTCTAAATTGGAGTTGGGAAATTGGAAGTGATTTCGTTGGCCATGACCCCTTTTACATGTGATTGTGAGGGGTTGTCTCCCTTGATGGAATGCTGTGTGCCATTCCTTATAATGGCAACTCAGGTGCCTGCTTCACTCTTCAATCTCGTTCATCTGCAACTGTAAGAGAAATCGTAGCAGAGAGATGTGAAGTGAAAAATAACGCCGTCCATGCTTATTAGTGATCACGCATGAGACTACAAGGGAAAGAATTTGACTTGGATGACAGTTCATTTGATCAATCAAGACTAGTTGGACACCTTGGAGAACCAAGGAGCCTGAATTTAATGTACAATAACACTCTCATTCTTTTCCCAAATCTTGAAGTTCAATAATTTTGTGGAGATAAAAGGGTTTTTACCCGCCATCTTACATCGGTAGCTGGCATATCTCGAAGAAACTTTAAAAGCTTCGTGGAGGCATTTTTGCTTCGTACCTGGAAACAAATATATGCTCTGAAATTAATCCCATCTTGTCTGTATGATGTGTTGTATTGTTTGAGCATGTCATAAAATGACGGAACCAGAAAGCATATCAGGAAGGATTATTAACTTGGAGTCTTTCCACAGCATCCATGATCCAAGCTAAAACGACAAAATCCTACAGTGTCCGGGGGGGAAGTGCTGGGTCAAAAGCTGGCGACTTTTCAGTTTTGATCAAAATAGCAGCTAGTGGAACCCCATCAAGTAAAAGGGCACACTTGACAGGACCTTGAGCTGCCTCTTCATGGGTCATTGGTCCTGTACGCCACTTTATATCTGCATTGACATAGCAGGATGAACACTACACCGTGGTATATATATATATTTGCATAGCTATATGCTATTTTAGCTTGAGAGCGAAAGGCATTTTGGGAACAAGGCATATGGTTTCTACTCAAGAGTCCAGCCACGACAATGTCTTAGCTCAAATACAAGGTAAATCACACTAATTACATTTGAAGGGCTCTGCTTTTAGCCTAGAGCAGGAGATGGACACTTGTTTTTCTCAAGTTACAGTGACCGCATTATTGTTCTCTTTGCAGAAAGATCACAAGGTTATAATTTCAGCTTTGACAGTAAAAAAATTAATAATTAATTCTCGAAAGAAATTCTTCATAAATAGATTGGAGTTTAAATGATTCGTTTACAACCTGACTGTGAAAAGATCTATAGTCTCGATGTGCTTGATGGTTTGCACACCTATTATTATTGTTTTTTACGTTACAACCTATTTTTTTAATTATTTTTGTATTAAATTGATTTTTTTAATTGCTTTTAAATAATTTTAATATATTATTGATCAAATGGCAGGGGGGGGGTGTAAAAATCCACTTGTTAGAAATCCACGAATATGAAAAACAAAAAAAAGAAATGGATCTACTATTCCAATTCCATTTGTGGCATAGACTCAATAGGAGAACTAAAATTCAAAAAAAATCCAAAGAAACCAAATCCATAAAAACCAAATCTATAAGAGAGGGGAGGAAAATCAAAGTATAACAGAGAATAAAGAAAAAGAGATGCAGAGAAGAGAGAGGATTGGCGGTTGATGGTTGATATTTAAGGTTAAAAAACATTATATATTTTTTTTTTAAGTGCTGATCGGTTGAATCAATTCGGCTCGGTTTAATTAGTTTTAGACTTTAAAAATTAAAACCGAACTGAATTAGAAATTTTTTGTGATTTTTTAATCCGTTTTCTCAGTTTGGTTTTTTTATTTTTTTTTTAGTTTTCTTGGTTTAATTGGTTTATTGGTTTTTTTTACTTACCCCTATTAAAATTACCAAGATGTTCTTGTCAAAATTTAAAAAAAAATAAAAAAACTAATTTAAAAAGACCTTTGATTTTTTCATGTTCAAGGGTAATCTTGTTATTTAACTGTTTTAATTAAAGGAGAAGATGAATAAACTCTTCTATGTATGTATTTTTTTTTTTTCCTTTCAAGATTATGAATGTACTTTTATTGTTTATTTGTTATATAAAAAGATAAAAGAACCTCTCATTTAAAAATTATTATTTTAAAAGAAAAAAGTAAAAAAATATACGTATATCATTTCGTCTTTTATCAAATATGCAATTCTATAGATATTATTTAGTTGTGATATGTGTAAGTTAATCCAAATACTTCATGTTATATATATATATCTTTAGAGAATATTAGTGATAGATGTTGTGATTTCATTTTCACGAGCCAAAAAATAATGAGATTAAGAGCAACTTGCAAACAAACTAGTTTAATGTTTTGACTTAGACGAATGAAATGAGAACCACATGCGATCTCAATTTCTTTGCGGCAACCGCTTTGGTTGCCTGCACTAATCAATTATTGCTATTATTTGTCAAGCATTCTGTTTACTTTTTCCCCATCTATCTTTGATTGATTCCTCTGCGAGAGCAAAAACATGGCAATTGGTGAGATTTTTCTTGCTGCATTCCTTGGAGTGCTGTTTACAAGATTGACATCTCCTGAGTTCCTGAAGTTCGCACGGCGAGAGGGCATTTGGAAAAAGGCAGACAAGTGGAGAAAGATGTTATTGAACGTCCAGGAGGTGCTTGATGACGCGGAAGAAAAGCAGCTGACGGATAAGGCTGTGAAGATATGGCTGGATGATCTAAGAGACTTGGCATATGATGTGGAGGACTTGCTTGATGAATTTGCTACTGAATCTTTACGAAGGGAGTTGATGGCAGCAGAAGAGGATAACACAAGCAAGGGTCGGGGGATAATGTCTGCTACCTTATCATTTACCAAAATCAGTGCAAGGGCTATTAAGTTCATTCCCAAGATGAGGTCAAAGATGAAGGAGGTGAGTAGCCGGTTAGATGGAATGGCGAAGCAGAGAATTGAACTTGGTTTAGAAAAGATGAGTGGAGGTAGAAGGACATCAACTGATGTATGGCAGAAACCACCTAGTGCCTCTGTCCCAAATGAACCTGTCATCTATGGCAGGGATGGAGATAAGAAGAAGATAATTGGTTTGCTGTTGACCGAAGAGGCAAATCACGATGATACTAATTTTCAAGTCGTTCCAATTGTCGGTATGGGTGGTATCGGCAAAACAACTCTTGCACAGCATGTATTTCAGGATGAATTGGTCAAGGAATGGTTCAGTACAAAAGCATGGGCTTGTGTGTCGGATGACTTTGATGTTATGAGAATATCAAAGGCGATTCTCGAGTCAGTTACTTCGCATCCCTGTGATTTCAAGGAGTACAATCAAGTTCAGGTCAAATTGAGGGAGGCACTAGCCGGAAAGAAGTTCCTTCTTGTTTTAGATGATGTATGGAACAAGAATTATGGTCTCTGGGTAGCGTTGAAAACTCCCTTTGCAGCCGGAGCACCAGGAAGTAAGATAATTCTGACCACTCGTGATGCAGACGTTGCACTAATGGCTGGACCGACTGAATACCATTGCCTAAAGCCACTGTCAGACCAAGATTGCTGGTCTGTGTTTGTGAAGCATGCATTCGAAAATAGAGATCTCGGCGCACAAACAAACCTCCAGTCAGTTTGTGAGAGAATCGTTACCAAGTGTAAGGGTTTGCCTTTGGCAGCCAGAACACTTGGTGGCCTCTTACGCACCAAGCCAAGGGAGGATGAGTGGGAAGACATACTGAATAGTAAGATATGGGACTTGTCAGACTCCCAAAGTGACATTCTTCCTGTTTTAAGATTGAGCTACTACCATCTCCCTTCACATTTGAAGAGGTGTTTTACATATTCTGCTCTAATTCCGAAGGATTTTGAATTTGAAGAGAAGGATCTTGTCCTTCTATAGATGGCAGAAGGTTTGGTTCCACAACAAGAACAGAACAAGCAAATGGAAGATTTGGGTGCGGAGTATTTTCGTGATCTAGTGTCGAGGTCAATTTTTCAAGTATCAAACAGTGATGAATCTCGATTTGTAATGCATGATCTCGTGAGTGATCTGGCTCAGTGGGCTGCGGGAGACACATGTTTTCAATTGGGTAATGATTTGAATGCTATCAAGCAGTTCAAAGTATCCAAGAGAGCTCGCCACTCCTCCTATATCCGTGGCTGCGATGGTATCAGAAAGTTTGAAGTATTCCATACTACTAAACGTTTACGAACTTTCCTACCACTGCCATTTCTTGTAGGTCATAATACAGGCTACTTAACTAGTCATGTCCCTTTTGATTTGTTGCCAAGATTAGAATTTCTGAGGGTGCTGTCTTTAAGTGGTTACTGCATCGATACGCTACCAGATTCAATTGGAGATCTGAAACATTTAAGGTTTCTTAATCTTTCCTTCACAAAAATCAGAAAATTAACTCAATCAGTATGTTCTTTATACAACTTGCAGACTTTGTTGCTGAAAGGCTGTTGCCTTCTTGAAGGGCTGCCTTCAAAACTGGGGAGTCTCATCAACCTCCGGCATCTTGATATCACAAGTGCAAGTTCAATCAAAGCGATGCCAATGGGAATTGAAAAGCTGACAAATCTGCAGACACTTTCCAATTTTGTCATGGGCAAAGATAAGGGTTGCTCTAGGTTGAGTTCCTTGGTGAATTTGAAATCTCTTCGAGGAGCGCTTTGTATTGCAGGCTTGGAGAATGTGATTGATGCTCGGGAAGCAATGGAGGCCAACATAAAAGATATAAATAACCTTGAAGTTTTGTTGCTGGAATGGAGTCCCAGAACAGATATTTCACGAAATGAGAAGGTTGACAAAGATGTGCTCGATGATCTTAGACCTCACGGAAAAGTCAAAGAACTCACCATCAACTGCTATGCTGGCCTAACATTTCCAACCTGGGTAGGAAATCCATCATTCTCCAGCATGTTTCTCCTAAGGTTAGAGAACTGTACAAAATGCACTTCCTTGCCACCTCTTGGACTGCTGCCTTCTTTAAAAAATCTCAGCATAGTAAGTTTAACTGCAGTAAAAAAAGTAGGTCCTGAATTTTATGGACAAGGTTGCTCAAAGCCTTTTCCAGTTTTAGAGACTTTACTTTTCAAGAACATGCAGGAATGGGAGGAATGGATTCC